GTCCTCAGAACTGAGTCATGAAGCTGAACTCCTCAGTAGGAAACAGACTTTTCTGCCTCTCTCTCTCTCTCTCTCTCTCTCTCTCTCTCTCTCTCTCCTTCCTTTTTTATTTCTACAAAACAACACATTCAAGAAGCCCAAATAACAGTTACCACATTAGTGGAGAACAAGAAAGTAATGGATTAAGTCAAGGAAGTACTAGGTGTGAAATCAAAGAAAAAGTTAAAGAAGAATGGAATACAGAACACAAGTATATCATTTGTGGTGGGCATAATAGTGAAGTGAAGACATTCGTCTTAAAAAGCCAGGAGCTCAAAAAGACCAAAAAAAAAAAAAAAAAAAAAAAAAAAAAAAAAAAGTCAGGCGCTGATAGTTAGTTTCTGTAAGGGTGTGAGATCTGGTAGGTTGACCAGACTCCAAGGGACAGACCTATATCCAAGAGCTTTTAGGGAACACAAATCAGACTCAATAGGTTTTTAAAAAGTAGTAAATTGGGCATGGTGGCATATGCCTTTAATCCTAGCACTCAGGAGGCAGAGGCAAGTGGATCTCTGTGAGACTGAGGCCAACCTGGTCTACATAATGATTGTAGGCTAGCTGGGGCTACAGGGAGACCCTGTCTCAAAAAAGCACCCCAAATAAAGGACATGCTGTCGAGGTAGGGTAGTGGGTGGGGTGGAACTGGGGGACAGAGTCTGAATATGATTGTAGTGGGGAAACCACTCATTCCTCTGAAAAGCATGAGTGACGGGTGAGTACAGGGCACCTTGAGCACAGGGCACCCTGGGAAGAAGGGTGGAGCCTAGCCGGCTGCTGTCAGATTGGAGGAGGGAGAGCGCCAAGGGTACGCTGGTCTCAGGAGCTGGGATCAGGAAGTGTGCGGCAGCCTGGGTGAATGGTGGAGACTGAGGACTACCCATGGGGCACGGGGGAAAGCTAATGGAGACTGTGGGTGGGGCTTGAATGACGAGTGAGTTATGAAAAGCCATCTTTTTGTAAGTTGCTCCCTCCCTGTCATATAAACCATGCAAAACCCAAGATAAAAATGTGTTATGCCAGTTTGTCTACCTATGTCAGGACCACGAGACCCTGAGAGAGTGAGGGCGGGTCCAACAGAGAAGGGGACAATTTAGTTCGACAATGATTAA